GCAAAACTCAACAGGATAAGTAGCCTAAGAAAGAAAAGAGGCAAATGACTCTGAGGAAGGGAAGTGGTCTGAAGCAGGAAAATGGCTGAGAACGGAACAAAAGCGAAAACTGAATGTGAGAGAGGAGCTGGGGGCGGGGAGTGAAGCTGACAAAGCCTAAATTTTAGTGTTTCATTCTGACTGCAGCCAATTTAACCCTGCTCTGTAAATATAGGAATGATCAGAGCATGAATGTGAGGCACAGAGGTTTTAAAGAGAGCCATAGACAGAAAAGAGCTAGGAGCTGTCTTCTGAAACATGTAATGGGTGTGTGAGAGAGGAGCCGAGGTGGGAAGGGGAATGCTCCGGGTTCTGCGGAAGAGCACTAATGCATTCCACTTGGGGGTAATATTGCATCTTTTGCTCCACTTCCTCCAGAGCAGTGATGCAGCTTATGTAATTCTAGACCCTTGGGCAGCATGGCTATGTGGGGGCACCCTTTAGATAGCTCTGTGTATTATTGCTTAAGTTGTGAAATATACTACTACTACTACTAAAACATTGCACTTACACCCCCTCTTTTTTCCTCTTGTGAAGGTGGCTTACATAGCTTAATTGTATCCTTATGACAACAACCCTGTGAAGTATGCTGGGTTGAGAGTGAGTGACTGGCTCAAAGCTACTCAGTGGGTTTCATGACCAAGTGGAGCATGGAAGCCAGATCTCCCTGGACCCCAATTCAACACTCTTAACTACTATACCACACTGGATCAATGTATACAACTAACATGTCTCTTCTCTACTGCTCCAACCACCATTCCATGCTTTAAATGTTTATACATCTCTGATATGTTAGAACAGCAAAGATGTTGGCCAACTCATTATGTGCAGCTTTGCACTGTAAGCTCACTTACAGAAACTCATAACATTATAATGGCTACAGGAACAAAATGGAGATTGCTGTTGGAACCCTGATGTCTCATTGCTGCTTCTTTGTGGGTGTTCTGGGTTGTGCAGCAGTGTGTCCTAAAGCTAGAAATAGTGTGGCTCATGGGGACCTGGGATTTGCATTGCACAGAAATCTATAGAGATAGTTATGTGTAGCCATATCAAATGTACCAAGGCGATTTTGCACATTCCAGATCGTTTTGCAATTTTCTATGCCTGCACAAGTTCAGGGGAAACAGCACCACTTTATTTGGTTAAAATGGCAGACAGGAAGGATCAAGCATACTAAACCACAGGCAAACAGCAAATATTCTCCACCTGCTAGTGAAGGTGCTTGGACTTTTCTTCAAATAGGGCATGTAGAAACTCAATGGCTGACTACCATGGTACAGTACCAAAAATGACCAGCAGAGGTCAGGCTTCCCCAAGTGAAACCCTGCAGCACAGGGGCCGGAAGACCTGTTAGCTGGGCTTCGCCCTGATACAGAATCTCATTTATTTTCTCTGGAGTTCCAAGAGTCTATGTAATCTCATGAAATAATTAAAAGCAAATTCTGAGGCTGCTGCACTCTGCCACACAAACTGCTGCCCTAAATAGCTCCCATGGAGAGGGAGGAAGGGATCTGATGTGAAAATGGGAACAGCACCAAAAGTTTTTCAGACATTGGTTAAAGGTAACGGTGGCCTGGGAAAACGTTGGGGCTTAAAGAGACAAGACTTTTTCTGGCTGAATTGAGTCTTCTGGGAGGGATGGGAAAAGACACTGGTTTCTCCAGTTTCCCTAGAAGTCTCATATAGCAGCTTTTAGGATGACTTGATTACACCGGTTACTCAGATGCACCTTTTGGCAAGGTATTCAACCACTTCTGCATGCTGGAATTAGTCAACATTGCTGTCCATAGCATCCTTCTCCAAACTGGCATCCTCCACATGCTTTGGACCAAAACCTCCAGCATGCCTATCATTGCCCATGCTGGATGGGGCTGATGGGAGTTGCAACTGAAAACATCTGGAGGAAACCACATTGAGGAAGGCTGGTTTATCCACTTCCCTAGTGGTTTTGTTTAAGTCCCAGTAGGTCGTTTTGTTTACATTCCATCAGCTGCAACCAGCTTAGTAATGAAGGATGAAAATCTGTGGGGGAGCCCAGGTTAGGGAAGGCTGGCTTAGCAGGGGACACAACTAAGAAACTAGACAGGACCTGCTATTGTCTGGTCAGTAACAGTAAAATGCCTGAATGTGCCCTGATCCAATAAGTCTAGTACCACCCAGGTAAACTATGTAATAGCAGTTTGCACATGGAGAGGCCCCTGGTCCTTGGCAGGGCAGGCCTGCTCCACACAACAGCAATGGATTAGCAAAGCTTTTCTTGGACTGTCCAACTGCAGAATGCAGGTGGGGTGTGAGGCAGAAAACCATACAGCTGAGTTCTTCCTCTTGAACTATGTTCCCTGCATATGCAATGCAAGCCTTCAGGGAAAAGGCTTGGCTAGCACTTTTCCTACTAACCTCTAGTGTTCTATGCAAAGAATGCTTTCAATGTGGAGAAGCATCCATCGTGCGATTCACCATCAGCAGGCCAAAAGCAGCGCAGTCTTGGACAGCCTTACTCCTTGTGGCTATTTATTATGTTGCTTTTCCTCATGTGACGCCCCAGATGCATGGACTTCGTCTTTCAGTATGTTACGGGTGATGGGAACTATTGTCCAAACCACTTGGAGGGCACCAGGATGGAGAAGGCTGCCAGAAATGAAGAGTCCAATTATTTATTTACATCCGGTCACAAGCCAGTTCTGTGAGCAAACTAGTGTTGACCCTTGCAAAAGCATGATATACTCCATTATTCACACCCACATTGGTGCCCTGCCCTTCTCCAGAGATTTGAAGCTGGCATGCACGGAGGGCATTCCTCTATCTGCTTATCTTCACAACAATCCTGTAACGAAAGCTAAGCTGGGTGACACTGTCAAGCTCAATGTCACCCAAGGTGAATCTGTAATTTGAATCTAGGGGTCTAATCTCAGAGGAACACTTTATCCAGCACTCTGCATTGACATTATTATGCTTGCATTACACTTATACGCTACTTTTCTTCCTCCTGCAATGAAACCCAGGTGCCTTAGAAGATTCTCCTCTCTGGTTTATCCTCATAACAATAACCCTGTGAGGTAAATTAATCTGAGAATCCATGACTGGTCACTCAGTGACTTTCTCCTGAGTCCCAGTCCAGAACTCTAGCCACTATGCCACACCGGCTATGTCAAGACTTAAAATAATGGCACTGAATAAATTTGTTTGTGAAGCTCAGTGGATAAGCTGCGACCACCTGGATTCAAGTGAGAGCTGAGCAGTTCTCCTGCCTGCCCCCCCCCCACCACCCCGTGCCCAATCAGTGGGGATCCAAATAAACCTCCTTCTCACTTTTCCCTCAATCCTCCAGCTGATGTCCCTGGGGATACCACAGTGGGGAGTGATAGCTGCCCCAAAGCGCAGCTGCCCCCAAGCAGCACTTTCACGCAGCCGTCAGAGGCTCCCCACAGCCGACCCCCGCAGCAACAGGAATGAGCCACTGTCTGCTTATTCCCCCCATCATCACCCATCACAGTGGCTGCTCAGTGGCCACCAAAGCAAGCAACAGGCGTGTTCTCATGGGCCTTCTTCTGAGGAGATCCAGGAGAAAACAGCCTGCCTTCTTATCCTAACTTGATGTCGCGCCTGCTAAGTAGGCGCTGCACCAAGGCAAACAACTGGGATTCCTCCAATGGAAATCTAAGAGAATGCAGCCCTTCTGCTTCCACCCACAATTGTGATCATAGCAGAAGGTGGAGAGAAGCGTTCTCCTGGACCTTATTTGAGGCTTGAGGAGGCAACAGGGTGGAGAACAAGCAAGGTCGGCACGTTCTCCCAAGGACGCCCAGGAGAATGAGACTCAGACCCCTGCCCTCACTCACGGTAGCACCATGCCATCCTACATGAGGGTGGCACTTTGTCCTGGGACTTGGTTGCAGCAGCAGGGAAATCGTGCCTTCCACTAGGCCTCCCCTGGAAGAGATCCAGGAAAACACAGTCCTTCCCCATCCAGCCACTGCCATGCTCACTGGGCGACGGCGGCAGAGAGCAGTGGGGCAAAAGCACGGCTGCAGCAGGAGGAGCACAGCAGCAGGGAGGCCCGTGAACACTGCCCAGACGCCCAAGTGACTGTCTGCCAGTCTTGTAAAGAGGCTCTGTAGGCTCCAGGGCTTGTTCAGAAGACTTGTTCCACTAACCCAGGGATGACTATGAAACCCTACAATAAGCCATGGTTTGTTGGCATGTCCATATAGCCACAAAGAACCTGCCCCATTGGGGGGGGGGGTACCAGGTGTGGACCACAAGCTAAGCCACTGTGACTTCAAAACTATGGTTTTTAAGCTTAGCTTGCCAGGCAAATCCAATCACTGATTCTCCGCCTAATTTCATGTATGTGATTTTTGTGAGGCCAAAACTGTACATCACCTGGAGGTCCACTTTGGAAGGGGTAGAGTCACAAATGTTGTGGCAAGGACTAGTCAATTAAGTCAGGCTGTATGAAGCTGATATGAAAAAAGATACGGAGCTTGAAGTGCTTTTTACCAATATTGGAGATGACCCATGAGGAAAAATATCACAGCAAATACTTCACAAGGATACTCACTGTTAAAATACTAGCACAGATGAATGGTGAAGAGAGGGGTACAAATTTAAACTGTCTCTCTGAAGGACATAATTGATTTTTCTTATTTATTATGTTTATCTTGCTGTTCCTAAAAGGAGCTCAGTTTTATCCTGACAGCAGTTGTGTTGAAGTAAATGAGGCTGGAAAAGTGAGCCATTTAGTTATGGGCTATTGTAGTGGCATATAAATCATGATGATGATGATGATGATGATGATGATGATGATGATGATGATGATGCAAAAGGTGAACTTCATGTGCAAGGCAGGATTTGAACCTGGGCCTCACTAATGACTGTGCTACACTAGCCTTTCTCCCTGAGTGTTGCAGAATGTAATACTTCTCCATTATCTTTCTTCCTTCCTTTCTGCAGACTCTGCATACAACTTTTCTTCTCAGCCTGGGCTGATAAAAATGGCCAATTTCACCAATGACAACTTCACCAAGGAGGGCAACCCCAAATACAAAACTGTGGAGATGGTTTTCATAGCCACAGTCACTGGGTCACTGAGCCTTGTCACTGTGGTAGGGAATATCTTGGTCATGCTGTCCATCAAGGTGAACCGCCAACTCCAGACTGTCAACAACTACTTCCTCTTTAGCTTGGCCTGTGCTGACCTGATAATTGGAGCCTTCTCCATGAATCTCTACACCGTCTATATTATCAAGGGGTACTGGCCACTTGGAGCTGTGGTGTGTGACCTCTGGCTGGCTCTGGACTATGTGGTGAGCAATGCCTCTGTCATGAACTTACTCATTATCAGTTTTGACCGCTACTTCTGCGTCACCAAGCCATTAACCTACCCAGCTAGGCGGACAACCAAAATGGCAGGGTTGATGATTGCTGTTGCTTGGATACTATCCTTTATCCTCTGGGCACCTGCCATCTTGTTTTGGCAGTTCATTGTTGGGGCAAGGACAGTTCCAGAAGGCCAGTGTTTCATTCAGTTCCTCTCCAACCCAGCTGTAACCTTTGGTACAGCCATTGCAGCTTTCTACCTCCCCGTGGTTATCATGACTGTGCTATACATCCACATCTCACTAGCCAGCCGGAGCCGTGTGAGACGGCACAAGCCTGAGAGCAAGAAAGAGAAGAGGCCTAAGCCACTTGGTTTTCTGAAGACCCCACTGGTCAAGCAGAACAACAACTCCCCCAAAAAAGCAGTGGAGGTGAAAGAGGAGGTAAAAAATGGGAAAGTAGAAGCACAGCCCGTACAACCATCAGAGACTACTGGCCATCAAGAGGAGAAGGAAACCTCCAATGAATCCAGCACAGTAAGCATCACCCAAACTAATAAAGAGAAGCAAGTGCTGGAAGTTGTAGCGGCAGATCCAGGCCAGAGTCCAGCCCACCCACGGATTAACCCCACCTCAAAGTGGTCCAAAATCAAGATAGTCACTAAGCAAACTGGTACAGAATGTGTCACTGCCATCGAAATTGTCCCAGACAAAGAAGCCAGTTCCACCCCAATTACCTTGTCAAACAGCCGTCCAGCTAATGTGGCCAGGAAGTTTGCCAGCATCGCCCGGAGTCAGGTCCGGAAGAAGCGCCAAATGGCAGCCCGGGAGAAGAAAGTCACCAGAACCATCTTTGCTATCTTGCTAGCCTTTATCCTGACATGGACACCTTACAATGTGATGGTTCTCATTAACACCTTCTGCAATTACTGTGTCCCTGACACTGTCTGGTCCATCGGGTACTGGCTGTGTTACGTCAACAGCACCATCAACCCAGCTTGCTATGCCCTTTGCAATGCCACCTTCAAGAAAACCTTTAAGCACCTTCTTATGTGTCAGTACAGGAACATCGGCACAGCGAGATAATCTGGAATTTATGAACTGCTTAGCAGTGGTATTGCGGAGGCATGCTCCTCTGTTCTCCAGCTGAACGAATATACTGTTGTAACTGTAATTTTCAATTCTAGTCAGAGCTCTTCATCAATGCAGAATTAAACCTAGAGATTACCTTGTACTATGCTTGGTCCTTAGGCATTCGCTAACCAAGGAGCAACCTCCCTGCATATTTAAACCCTGATTGCTTCTGCAGCAAACATGGAAGAAAGACATCAGGGATTGGATACTGCAAGAAGTTGCCACAAATCAATTGCAAAGACAGGATGGATCCCCCACCCCCTTCCCTTGCCTCATTGCTCCTGAAGTCCTGGCTGAACATTCTTTGCCCTCGGATCAATCTGCATTGAACCGCAGTACCGCGCTGAGCACTCCACCAGTGCATTAGGTGGGACGTCCCTGTACAAGCGCGCAGGATGGAACAGGAAGTTCCTCCTCTCACTGGATGCCTTTGTGGCTTTGCACATCTGTGCGTTTGTGCATACGAGAGTGGGCAAGTGAATGGGAAGGTGCACAGGCTGATTCGTTCATGAACAATGAATGTCAGAACAACAGGGGCTGTCTCAGCGCCAGTCTTCAAGCTGGCAGCATATTCTTGAAACTGTAAGACAGGGCAGGTTCAGAAAAGGCAACCCATCCACACAGACTTTCTCATCTCTGTGCGTTGTTCAGTGGGGTTTCCAGTTCCTGAGGATGAGGGACTTAGGGGGCATCAACACAGCTGGGCCTGCTTCCGAGGCTTGCTGGGAAATGCACCATTCGTCTCGGTGGGTGGGGCAGGTGGGAGCGGTTGGCCCCATTGGTTGGCAGAATGGAGAGGTTTGTTTCTGTGTTGAATCAATGGCACCTATCATAATTTTGAAATGACAAGTCACACAGAAACACACACAGAGTTAGTTAGGCAAGATTTTTGACCATGTGCCAAGGGAATACCTCTAGAAAGATACTTGTGTCCGTGTTAAGAGTGCTTGTCCTTGAAGCAGCCGCCTGACAAGCCGCTCTGAGGATAACAGGATACATGAAGCATCTGTGATAGTGGAAGAAAACTGCAGCACAAGGGAGGATGTCAAAGGATGTGCCATATTTTTAATGTCATCTGGGCTTACCTTTGATTTTTGTAATTGTTCTTCCCTGCTCCAAGCGTACGGGACAGTTCCGTTATCTACCCTTTTTAAAAAACTCAGACAGTTGGCTCTTTTAAGGCCTGGGGTAAGAATAAGAGAGACCTCCCCCACCTGCTTCTGCTCCAAGTGCCTGAGGGCATCTCAAGAGGAGTGTTGCTGAGCTTTGTAAATTGGATGTTGCCTCCCTTGCAGCCAGTGTTGTCATGAAGTCCTCAGCATGTGGACTCCAGTGTAAATGTACAGCCGAAACCTCCTAGAGTAGTCCTGTTCAGTGTAAACCAATTCGATCCAACTCAGTCTCCAGAGATCCAGTGGTGCCAGCACCCTCAGGGCCACGTTGTTCTGGAATACGATCCATGAGCTGACACAGGCTGGGCTGGGGCAGGGTTCAGCAGTGGTGTGGAGGTCTCTGACTCATGCCGAAGGGCTTGCAGCTTAGAAGATGCCCTTGCATTTGGCCAATCATGGTGGCTGCTTCATTCTGCTAGGGAGGCAGCCAAACTGCCACTGCCTTTAGAATAATCTGCGTAATGTCGCCCCTAAAATGTCTTGCAGGTTTTTTTAAAAAAATTGCTACAAATACAGTGGGACCCACTTAAATAAATAAAGTAATTGAACTAAATATATCAGTTCTCTGGATCAGTTATTTTTCAAACAGCCAGACAGCCACATGAAATCTTTTCAGAGATATGGTGGATGAAACTGGAAGTTATAACACCTTTGTGTCTCTTTAGACCTCACACAAAACCCAGGCACAGCTGTTGTTACTTTGGGGGATTTTGGATAACAGGGTCCTAGACTGGATCCTTTGTTAATTCTGTTACGCTATTCTGATATCCTGGAAATTAGCAGAGGGAGCTTCTTCAAACACAGACCCTCTTCTCCTAGATTACAGATGCAAGGCAGTTTAAATGCAAAACAGAACTTTTAAAAAGCTACATAAAATATGACAACAAATCATGTTTGGCAATAAATCTCACAGCCCCTCAAAGTTAAAAGCACTGATTTTAAAACTGAAAGGCTCAGTCTGCACAGACTATTTAAAAGGCCTGGATGAACAGAAAAGTCTTCATTTGGCACCAAAAAGACGAAAGGGATGGTGCCTGGGGAGGCTGTTCTGTAAATGTGGTCCCAGTGCTAAAAAGGCCTGGTAATCACCCTTTTCATGCAATTCAGCAGGGGGCATTTAAGGCTCTGGATCATGACGTTTGGGTAAATACCTATGGGAGAAGGCTGTTTGTGTTTTAAAGCTTAAAGCCAACACTTTAAATTGGGTCTAGAAATGGACTGGGAGCCAGTGCAGCTGACAAGGCCGGAGCTGAATATGGTCACATGACCCAGTTCCAATAAGTAATCCAGTGGGCTTATTTTGAACTGACTGCAGTTTCTGAACCATTTCTAAGGCAGCCCCAAATGCAATGCACCAGACAGTTGTGTTCCTCCAACTGAAGGTCACCAGAGCAAGGGCAGGGGAGGTTGCGGCCAAACTATTTCCATCCAGGGAAGCTGCATCTGCCATATCAGTGAGAGCTGCTAAAAAGTGCTCTGAGCCACAGAGGTTGCTTGACTTTCTCACAGCAGTGATGGATTAGTCAGCACCCCCCAAAGTGCAAACAGGATCCTTTCAGGTGGGGCCTGCAGCAGACCTTGCCAAGCCCCCTCCCCAAAGGCTCTCCTTTCCCTCAAACCTTCACCCCTCCCCAAGCAGCTCTCTCTCTGTCTCTCTCTCTCTCTCATCACACTGTAAGTGGCGGTGAGTCACTGAAGTCCCTAATTTTAAGCAGCAATGAAAACTGCTTTCACAGCAATCCCAGTAAGCCAATGTGTTAATTGGAAAAAAAAAGTGGGAGTCTAAGAAAGTCTGGGGCACATTGGTTTCATGTTGCCTACCTCTGGTTTAAATAAGGAAGAGGAAGGGATTTTACTGTGGTCTTTACTCAGAGGTTGGACTGGATATTTCACCTTGGAGAGGAAAGAGCTGCTGTCTGTTCTCATCTTGAAAAAAAACGTGCTTAGCAACCCATCTTACTCATCTTCTCTTGTTTCAGTGGAGACATGAAACCCACAGACATGAAGCAAGGAAAAAAATGGCAAAATGTCTTCTCCCGGGTCAAGAAAAAAAAACTCCCAGCAGGCTGTAGTGGGTTTAAATGGATGCCTTGCCTGGAGAAAGCAACAAATTGAGCTTGGGAGGGTGTCCAGCCCCACTCCGTTCTCATTGTCTCGGGAGCAAGGTTTGGTATGGCAGAACCTGCTGAAGGCTCTCTTCTGGGAACCTTGCTAAGTCTGGATATGTGTTTGCCCACGGTGCCTGGATACTGCCCTACAAGCTGTGTGCCCAAGAGAGCTTCCCCTGCTCTCATGTCTGCTTCCAATCATCCTGCAGCATTCGCAGCCCCTTGCTGGTCTGGTAGCAATTATCTTGCATTAGCAAAGGAATTCTAAGAAGCTCAAGAGCCTGGGGCAAGGATTTTGTAATCCTACAAGGGGAAGGGGTGCTCTGGGGATAGGAGGAGGGAAGGGTGGGCATCCAGGCAGCTGTCCAAGGACCCTTGGAGGCCCCTTCCTTAATAGGTCCTGGCTGGGCAGCATGCCTGCCCTCCCAGCCGTGAGGTGACTTTTTGGCTGGCCTCAATGGGATTGCAGATTAACTTTGCACTGAGAGGTGAGGATGCTTTGAATATGGAGTTTCCCAGCCTAAGTCTCTTGACCCTTGGAGAAAAGGGTTAAAAAGACAGTCAGGAGACATGTCAGAGGAAGGTGGAGTGGTCTGGCTCCCCACTCAGCAGAAAGCTAGCTGCAAACTCTTAGGTCAAATACAGTGAGGGCAGACAGAAGAGCACGGGTGGGGCAGGGCAGCTCTCAGGGAGACAAAAGGAGCCCCACTGCGGCAAACAGGAATGGAGTGAAAGTGCACCTGCCAGTTAAATGGGATGATGCCCCATGGATTGTTCTGAGAGCAAGTTCCAAGTCGAAAATGGTACGTCTTGGTCAGCAGTATCTCACGCTACATCGGAATGGGTTAGGAATATTGGAAGATAACTTTGCTAATTTGTAGAAAATCGGACCACTGTTCCTGCTAATTTGTGACTGCCTATGCTGACTCGCAGCAGCTCCGCCGCAGGGCCATCAGGCACTGAAGTGCCCCCTCAGACTCATATGCTGAGGTGTGGGCAATGGCACTGGGGCATCAGGAAACAGTAACTGCGCCTGCCCTCTGTCCTCTAAGCTCAGCTGCTGCCCTAAGGGATAGCGAGGGGTGTTGTCCCATCGCCAATGCTGAAGGAAGGCTCAACGTCCACTTGACTTCTATACTTGGAAAGATGTCATCTTGTTCTTTGTTCCGGCAGCTAAAGTCAGTCCTGCAGTCCTGGGTTTCAGACAAGAGCTCTTTCCCAGTTCTTTCTGAAACTGATAAAGGTGTGTTATTATCAATATTGCTATTATTACTATTAGATTTATATGCTGCCTTTCTTTCTTTTGCAAAGAATACAAGGGAACTTACAAGGTTCTTCTCCTCTCCATTGTTCACAACAACCCTGTGAGGTAGGTGAGGTTAAGAGTACCTGACTGGCCTAAAGTTACCTGGTGAACCACATGGCTGTGTGAGGACTTGAAACCAGATCTCCCGAGTACCAGTCCAACACTCTAACCACTGTGCCACATGGCCGTGATGCTTTGTTATGAGCAAAGTATATACTCAACCACTGAGCTCCTTTCCTTCCCTCTGAATTGCTACTGGGAAACTTGGGCCAAAGCAAAAGCTACCTGGGAGTGTAACACACCTGTTCTATATGCAGACAGTAACGATGCCAGAAATGCCATACGCATATGCTGTGAACTGTCAGCAGCCCAAGTATTTCACATTCTAGTAGCATATTGCTAGTGAGACAGCAACCAACACACTTAGGAGTATGTCCTATTCAACTAAGTGGGATTCTAGCTATTTCTCCCTCCCTGCAAGTACCTAAGTTGGGTCAAAGTTATTGTGCAGTTGAGGCAGAAAATGCATGAGCATCAATCTTCCCTTCCTAGCAATAAAAATACAGGAACAGTCAATCAAAAAACTTGTCATTTCCCCGCCATTCATACCACCCAAAATCAACTATCTGAGATGCCTTCCTTTACTCTGTAATAACAGGGCTGCTGAAGCTCAGACCTACACATCAACTCTAGACCCTTGCATGGTAAAACCTGGCTATGTGCAGAATTAGTGTGAACCTAATCTAAACTAAGGCAAATGTGCCTTTATGGGGTCTCCCCACTATACATGTATCAGTGTCGGGACATTAAATGCTAAAATGCCACAGTGCAGTCCCAAGTGCAGCAAAACAGTGACAGTCAACATTTAGTAATAGGTTGTTTGTCCCAACTTTACACTCAAATAGCAGTAGGAAGCAATGCCAGGGTCTGTATCTGTTATCTATATTCAGGACTGGTATCTGTTCACATGGCATAAAATATTGTATTTTATTGTTAAATTTATTATACTGGTGTATGTATTAATATTCTGTATCTTCTCTGGGGAAAGTAATCCCAGACTATAAACTTTAGAAAGGTGTGTTTTTAAAAAAAAAATAATGAAAACTACTGGAAAGAATAGTGGCAAAATCTTCATTATGTATTTGCCAGTTCTGCTCTCTGCTTTGATTGACAGTAACAACATGAAAATATCTTGGGTCAGAAATGGGCTAAAGGAATCCAAGGAGCAGCTGGTATAATATTAATGGCATTTTTACCATGGCTTTCTTTGTGGTGGTGGAGGCCCTGGATTATGTGACACCAATCACATTGAGGGTTAATTGAAAGCCCCTAGCTTTCACCCAGCACTAATAATTGGTTCCAACTATGGTAGTCACTTTGCTATGTGGACAATGTGAAGTGTAAGGTAATGCCTACTTTAAACAAGCAAACAAGGAAGATTTTTTTTAAAAGGGGGTGAAAATTGGTCTTAAAAAACAGTGGTTCAGGAAGTGGAGGGGTAGTGCTGTGAAAGGCAAGATCAGACTTGCTAAGACACTCTCTCTCTCTCTATGTGTGTGTGTGTGTGCGTGCGCGCACTAATAGAGCACTGATCTTAAGTCAAGTCTAACTTTTCCTTCTTAAAAGCTGATGATTTCACGTACAAAGTGAGTGAAAGATACTATGGAATCTTCTTAGTATCAAGGCACAATGCTGATAATTTGGATAATTTTCTTAACACCAAATTGAAGTGTTTCTTTACTTTCCCTTTCTAGGGAAGATATAATTTGGTATCTTGGCCAATTTATTAACACTTGGCTTTGTTTTAAGCTGAAAGGTGAGTTCTGCTATGAGACTTCAGACATACTAGGACAACCATGGAAGTATGCAGCAAGTTACTGGTCTACAAAAAATTCACAGCCGCCTACCACCCACACATTCGTTCACTGTTTGCAGCACAGTCTGTGTCTGAAAGAACAAACTTTGCTCCAGCTGGTAAATGCTTCCTTCCCTGGCTGCCTTGAAGATATTCTTACTTATTGCAGGCAACTAGATCTGTACCTACCTCTTGTGTCTTCAGGTAAGAATAAAAACACCAGTCAAACTGGAGATAGGCCTCTTAATAGCTGGTTTTGCATCTAAATGGAACTAACTCCAAGCCTGCTTGTTTTGAATAGTAGCCTTTTCTCTTTGTGCCAGAATTGGTTTTAAGCAGGTCTACAGGAAGTGAGTAGCTTCAAATAACTTGTAAATAAATTCACTCAGCGGGACACCTACAATACTTAGGGTAAGGATGCTGCTGTCTCATCCGCCTTTGTTAACTCTGCAACTTGTCCTTAATCTGAGCATTGCTGCCTCTACCTGTTGAGACACAAAGTTCTCTGACAAAAACGTTCCTGTCACACTTTCCATGACAGACCATTTGGTTCTGGGAAGCTGACAGGTATCTGGAACTCGATACCATCTCATTCTAGCTCTTTTTGGCAGACAGAGCCTGTATTTATCTTCACCTTGCCTGAAGCGGTAGTTTTTAATATCTCAATGTCAAGTGTGCTGCACTCTTTCTCAACCTAAAAATGCACCAGGGAAATATGAACAGACAGCAAACTCCCTGTCCTGGCCCTCTAGTCCAGGTCTGTCGGATGGTTCCTGGTCTACTGAGTGTTGTCAAGTCTGAAGTGGTGACATTCCTTCAGTGAAGCCAAACTGAGCCTTACGCTCCCTCCCACAGCAACACTTGGAAGCTGCGTGTCCTTGCAGTCCCCTCACGCAGCCACCTTCCCCAGCCCACGGACTCTCTTTCTTCTGACACAGAAACAGGACCCAGAAGGTGAGGATTGTTTTCATAAAAAGACTTTTATTGGAAAAGGGGAGAAATTGTAAAAAGCAGAGAGGGCTTACCCAGCACCAGTAAAGGAAGGGAAGGCCACAGAGTCCCAGCAAGAATACAGAAAAGGAGGAACAAGGACATAAGGACTAAAAAAGAAACAATGCTCATTAACTCTTTCTTAGCTGCTGAAAGGGGGTGCAAGGCATGGATTGTGGCAAAAGACCAAGCAAAATCAGGTTGTGGAGATTACACGCATGTGCACATGCCTGTCTCCGGAGGGAGAGGCTGCTTGTGAACAAGCTTGGATTGGAGAGAGATGGGGAGGGCGCTCACACGCACACACAATACCATGGGAAGTAGGCACAGATTCAGGCCCTTGTAAAGCTGAAGGTGTGTGTGTGGAAGGAAACAAAATGACACCAAAGAAGTCAAAATCGTCCTACTGCACACAGTGCTCTTATTAGGAAGGCAAGAGAGAAATGGGGCTTTTAGCCCCTGCTCTTCACTGTAACTCCTCTCCCACCCGAGCCCATGCCCTGAAACAGTTTCCTTGGGAAATTTAGAGTTTTGCCTATGGGAAGAGAAAGCTGTTTGGAGTTACCACAAGCATTGCTAAGTTGGTTAAAGGATGTGCCAAAAGGCCATTTGGCGTTGACCAAGGATGCCAATGGTGAATCACTCAAGTCACAGCTTAGCCCCATCTCAAAACACACCATGTTGAATTCTGGGGAACAAACCAGAGTAAAGAAAACAAGGGTGCATATACGAGGGGACCAGGCAGAGGACAGATGGGGGAGGTTAAAGGGAAGGCAAACAGTGCCTTCTACAGGACAGGGTGGGCTTGCTCGCTACAAAACTAGCAATTAGAAACGGAATCCCAGTTAAGGGCAAAGTCACGGAGGCAGAAGAGATGTGGGATCTGGCAAAGTATCGCCGAGCTGGGAGGGGCCACACTGCAGCTCCAAGTGGTGTGTGTCCAAGTGGGTTCAGGCACCGTGCCCTGAAGACGGCGGGGCTCTGTCCGTCATTCTAGTCCTTCCCCTTCCCTTTTCTGGCTGTTTGAAACAAGGACGGTTGAACAGCATTAGTATGACACATGGCGTGATGCCCCCCCACCCCCACCCCCACCCCCACATACTATAGTACCCTTGAGCTGGCAGGGCCTGTGCTAGACTGGCATCCACTTACTGTCTCAGAAACTGTCAGCTGATCACTGGCTTCCTGCTTCATATTCTGGCTGCATTAGCAAGTATGTACAAGCAACTCTAGACCTGGCACTCTTTGGACACTGGATATGCCTTTCAGATGGAAAGTTCCTACTATTGGGTGGTGCCTCAGACCACCAGCCTGGGACCATTGCACCAAGTGACTCCCTGTGGGACAGACGTGATAGGCTTTGGGTTCCTCTAGCACAGACTCCCTGAAGCTGGTGCTTTCCAAATACGTTAAGCTACAGCTCTGATACTGCAGGCATCATCAAATCATAGTCTTGTCATTTTCTGGCTGGCTGTAAACCAAACAGCTTCACTTGTGCATCGTGCCCCCAGTACCTATAAGAGAGAGGTTACTTAGAATGTGGGGAAAGCTGCACTAAGCCAGGAAACCACAAGGTTCTCAGTGTTTGGGAGAGAGGGGAAGAAGCCTGGAGGGCCAGATTAGCATCTTGAGTGAGCAGAATTTGACCCACAGGCCTGAGGTTCTAAACTCCTGACTTAGCGCAACATCATCATCCCTGAGAAAAAGGCAGCCAGTCATACTGGTGTATTGAAGGGGGGAAATCCAGACACAACCAAAATGTAATACCTCTATGAGGATCAACTGAAAGATTGCCAAGTACTGGAAAAGATTTTGCATTCATTGAGTTCAGCCTCTCCAACCCAGGAGCCTCCAGATTTTCATCATTCCCAACTACTACTGCCATGCTGGCTGGGAATAATGAGTGCTGAAGTCTGAAACATTTGGAGGTACACCAGGCTGGGGAAGGCCGTACCAGGTAAATGCAAAATGTTGTTCATTATTGTTTTTCTTAACATTTAGCCTGACCCCTCCCCCCCACCACCACCAAAAAAAAAAGGAAGACAGGAGGAAAAGAAAGAATTCAAGAATTATGGATGCTTGCTCACTGTTTTGTGATGTTTCATTTATTCTTAATGAAATTTGTCTTAGGCTATGATCACTGAAATTTTCCCCATGACCATGCTTGAAGTTATCTGAACCAAACAATTGCAACCTTGCAGTAAGAATGATTTTCGGTATAAACCATAGCAAAATGATTACTCTCACACACAAAAACAGCCCTTTCCTCTTACTGGGGCCACAACAATGCAGCATGAAAGAATGAAGGGAGGGAGGAGACCCTTGTAGCTTGCCAAAGACTAATCTTGAGCAAGACTGATACAGGAATATATTTAGCTAGGAGTCAGAACGTTTTTCCTGTGGATCAGTCATACACAATTAACTGCTCACAGGTGCTATCTACTTATGTGAGCCATTAATGGCACAGCTACAACATCACACAATATCATAGTTCATCTTTGGTAAAATGGAAACTGGTCCTGGTTTTCCTAGTTCATGAAAGATGAGCCACAATCTCACATAATTCCATGACTACTATATGGCACCGTGTCTTGCAGTCATAAGGAATGTCACTGTCCATGGCCTTAGTTTAATAAGTCTCACTCAAAGCTTCCAGAGCCTAATGAAGCACAGAATTATCATAATGTGCCAGAATTATCTTCAGGGAATAGGAATCCTGAGGAATTACAAATAAAGCCTATCTGGCGAGATGTGGTCATCACTGCTTTTCACAGCTCCCCAAAGAAACAAACTCGTTTTACAGATTTCTGAGGAAAATAAGCAGACACTGGAACTGACCTTTAGATTTTGACTTGGCCTTAGGAGAACAGGGCTTAGTCACTTGAATAGTTTCCTGGCACTCGGCATTGTACAGGGCCTTCTTCAGAGTGCCTGAACGAGCCTTCAGACCTGTTGCAGAATCACAGCCGCCCCAGCTCTCAAACTTGTACTTGCAATCAGCTAAGACAAAAGTTAAGAGCCATTAGATCTGTTTAGTACCCATCACAAACATCTGGACTAAGTGTGAATACTTAAGATTATAAAGAGCATTCACCATGGTTCTACTGTAACAACTACCATGATGGATCAGACAATAAACCCATCTAGTTCCCCACTGAATTCTCAGTTGCCGACAAATGCCCATGGGGAGCCCAAGCAGGACACAACAGCAATACCATCTTCCTCTTTGGGTTCCCCAGCATGTGATATTCAGGAGAATATTGCCACTGCTTTGGAGGTTATACGTGGCCATCTTGCCTACCAGCCATGGATAGCATTAACACTGTTTGCTTTGACTCATGCTAATGTTGCCTGAGCAAAACCTGCTTTAGTTCTCCACGCTCCATGGCCTCCCTCTCAATTATGTTGTTCTTCAGAGAGAAAACATAAGGGTTTGGCGCACAAGAGAGGCAAATAGTTGATTATCACTCCTCAAAATAAAAAAGGCACAGACAAAGTGGCATGGACAGGGAAATTTGAAGTGGGGGTGGCTTTTGCATCTGTGGGTTGCAGGGGAGATCCTGGAAGCACACAAATTACCCACCTCTTCTTTAAACAGACAAAGAGGTAATTTCCAAGGTCATGATACATACATAAGCACCAGTACAGCAAAACCAAATAAACTTTGTTCAACAATGGTTTTAAGAACAGCAGCAAACACTGGGAAAGATCTACGATGAAAGTATGCAAGAAGCTGTAACCTTCGCACTGACCACCAACCAAACCACACTCCCAGCCTGATTTCTTTTTGCAATCAAATAGGGAAGGAGCTTCAAAGGGACAAGGACAGAGCAGAAGCAGCTCAGTACAGGGAAGCACAGACAAAGGGAATGGGTGAAGAGTATAAAGGGCTTCCATGCAACACTCAAGACACTGGCTAGGGTCACGTCAGGAGGAAAACTGCGGTGTGGTTACCATGGCTCACAGATTGTTCCCTCATGTGCCAGAAAGATGATCAGGTTTGAGGTGGCAACTCTTCCCACTCCTACCATCTCTTTCCTTCTCAGTCTTCCAGGTGGTATCCCAGGAGACACCACGGAGGGGAATGAGGCTCCCCTCTTTGACAGCTGCAAATGCAAGCCAAGGGCAGCTCTCCACAGCCCTCAAGCAGCCTCTGCTGTGCAAACAGGGCTCGTGCCCTGAAGCACAGCAGAGATGAGGGAACTCTTCAAGGACTTGCAATGCCTGCTTCAGAGGGTATTGCTGGAACAAGAGGGGGGCTGCCTGACCCGTGCTCAGGCAAAAGGAGCAGGAAATCTGCCGGACAGCATGACAGAAAGGAGTAGCGCCACACAGCTGATTCCCCCTCTGTCTCCTCCACATGCATCAGAGGACAGCTCCATGCATGCAAGCAGAAGGGGTAAGAATCAGCTGGGCCATGGTGCCTAGTTGGGGGCTGCACCACTCAGCTAATATGCCTTCCACCCCCTCATGTGCACCAGTGAAAATCGGTCGGCAGTGCCTCTCTGGCAAGCGGGATCAAGAAAGGGGCGGGGCAACATTTCCCCCTTTCTTTTCTCTTCAGATCTAAGATCACCTACCAGGATCTTCCTGGACTCCAACAAGCAAAACCTTGGATGGGAAATTAACAAATTATGTCATAGCTCTGCTAGGAAAGCCTATGATTTATATGCAAAAGATCCCAGGTTGAATCCCAGACCACTCCACATAGGGCTGTGAAACAACCCCATTAGAGGTTGACCTGCTGACTTGCTATAAGGCATCTCCTCTAGTTCTAAAATAACAGCAACTGCCAAAAACCACAGCTCCATATATCTATGAAAGACCCAGCTGCCCCAGAAGCCACAGGATGTGCTTCTAATATGGAAGTACCGTAAGGAGGAGATTACCAGATGACTGTAAATGTAAACCAGCCCTGCATCAAGTTAGCAATGGATGCCCGTGACTGTTCCATACAAAGAGCCACAAAACTCCATGGCCGGTTTGCAAGGTCCTGTCAAGATTGGGGCGTCATTCTCCAAGCGTCATCATTTTGCCCCAGAGCCAAAGACATGCTCACCTCCAAATTCCTTCTTCCAGTTGCAGGGGATCTTACACTTGAGTTTCTTGCTCTCTTCATTACAAGTCCCTTCACGGAAGCCAATGCCACAGTCTTTGGTGTTGGGGACACAAGGGCCCCAGCGCCATTCCTCACAATCTGAGCCATTTTTCTTCACTTTGTCTGAAATAATAACGGGGCAACGGGCAGTCACTACAGCGACAAACAGCTTTCCTTTTCTGCAAATTGCCGCAAGGCCCTAAAGGCAGGCCTACCCTTGCCCCACCTGCAGGCAACCCAGAAGGACAGCAAACAGCAGCTAGGGCCCCCAAGTTGCCAGATTTCTGCCACTCACCTTTTTTATTCTTGCCAGCCTCAGAAGATGCAGCCAGAAGAATCAGAACCAAGAGGAGAACGAGTTCACGGACCTGCATTCTGCACAATGAAAGGAAAAGATATCAGCACAGCATCGAATCCTTGCCAATCCAAACACAAGAAGTAGTAAGCATGAAGACAGAGCTATGTGGTTTAAAAAGTGAGAAGGCAGCACAGACAGGGTTGTCAACATTTTGACCAGCTGTGCTCCTGTGCACTGAAGTGACAAGGAGAAATGAAACAAGTGAGATTTTATCCATCACTTTATCTACTTGCCAGGAAAGCCCTCATTTGTAAAATGCCTGGATTTCAGGATGCAATTAAAGACACCTTAACAGAAACACTTTAAAAAGCTGGCACCCCAACTATAGGAAAACTTTCTCTGTTTGGTGAAAGAGTTCAGACTAGCTTGGCCATTACACCAGAGTAGACTGGTGTCATCTTTCTGCATCCATTATTTTGCCTACATTTTTGCTGCAGTAGCAGATCAGAATAATAACATTTCTGACTCAGAATTCCCTTGGTTCAGATACATTTGTGTTTAGGGATGGCTAAACAGCAAACCAAGGATGAAGTGCTTTAGGGGGTGCTTTATGGAGGGTGCTTTATGGAAGTTGGGCACTTTATGGAGGCAAGGAAGAACCAAGCTTTTGAGAACATGCAGCATGAATGCTGCACACCGAAGCTCTGAGACACTGTGAGGGCTGGATTTTTGCTGCTGTTGCTCCTTTCACTCATTGCTTAGTAGGTACAGGCCCTGTTGGTACGGGCAGAGGTCCAGACAACTTTGTAAGTGTGGCACGATTGCAATATTTTGCCTGAGCTACCAAAATGTCAAAGGTCAATATGTGGGTACACACCTTCTCTCAGTAGCTGAGTTCTTGTTCATTTTTTTAAAAAAATAACCTAAACTCTAGGCAATCTTTGACAGCCTCATTTGTGAATGAATTTTTGCAAATGCTTAGTTGAGTTGATCCACTTTTATAAGTCACAGAAATCACCACACTGGATCCAGGATCTTCCTGCTGCTGATGGAAGGGCTCCACTTGTGAAAATTCCTCTGCCTGATTTGGGGGGATTCTTCCTCCCCACACCGCACCATAGCTCCCCTCATTCGGCGGGGCTCCCTGTTTCTCTGCACAGCATTTTTTGGGAACTGTAGCAGTTGATGTGGGGAGGGGGAAAGGGAGATCCACTTCTGCCAAGATCATTGATCTGGCTTAAATCTGGATTCAGCTGAGGTCTATAGCATAAAATCTTTGACTATTCTAGCATCTCCTCAAATCCTTCCTGTGGAGCAGGTTGATTTTTACTTTCTGCTCCAATGGGAAGGTTGGAAATCCAGATGGTTCAGGGATCAAATTTATTGTTAGCCAGATATATTAATTCCAACATGTTTTGAAAAAATAGCTTTTCATTTGAGTACTGTATTTATTCGAGTTCTGTAATAATTTGCTCCAAAGGACTTACTAGCTTACTGATGTCTGCAACAGTAACTCATTTGGAGCAAGTTATTAGAGAAGGTATAATAGTCCCTTGATGAAGAACTAGTATCAATACGCTCGTCTCCTGCCCCTGTTGGATGCCTTTTCTTGCTCCGCTGGGCTTCTCTTCTGGTGTGTTTTGCCACTTGGCAAGCCCACACAAGGCCCGCATTTACACACAAGACACACCATTCCCACAGTGGCACTCATCAATGGCACTCTCCTTATAATGAGTCTTGGTCCACTGGTCCAAAGAAAGGGCTGCTACTCACACGCACCAGTCCAAGCCCTCAGGCTTGTGGCAGAATGAAACTGAACAGGATTCAGACCTCCCATTTCAAAATAGCCTTATAAGCTCTTCCCCCACCCCAGGTTTCAAATCTGGAGCAACCAAGTGGAAACCGGGAAAAGCAAGCCTGCCAAAGGGATTTATGCTGCCCCGACCTTTGGAAAGCCAGAAGGCTTCCTTGAGTTGGCAATTGGGAGGCCCTGCTCCCCACTCCCCTCAAATGCTCCCATAGTGCCCCCTTATTTCCCAGTGCCTCTTTTATCTCGGGCTCAGCAGGCTACCTCGCCGATGCCAAAGCTCCGTGAGGTTGGGGGGATCTCAGCTGCCATGGAACCTTTATCCAGCTCGAAAAGAATCCAGGGTGGGAAAAAGAAACCCCGACAGGCCGAGGTTTTGAAAACTAAAACAGAAGATTAAAAATAAAAGCCCAGCACAATTAGATCTCATGTGGAGCTTTAGAAGGCAGGCTGCTCCCCCTGCTGGCTCCCTTAATGTCAGCCTATTACCATATCCCTACAAAGGGACTATGGAAACAAGGCTGTGAGCGAGAGAGCAAGTGAGAGTACGTCTGTCCGCACATACCATAAAGAGCAGGAGCTGCAGGTGTGGGGAAGAAACAGGAAGATGTGTGGTCACAATGTCAGCTCCAGGTCTGGGGATCCCCTGAGCAGGTCACCCTCGGTGGGCTTTCTCCTGCAGGGGTGTGCCTGTTTGCAGCCACTACTGTCACTGGCTGCTGTTCCTCCACCTCCTCCTCCTCCTCACTGCTGCCGCTTGCTCGCTTGACAGGCCAAACGCCAGTGAGTGGGCAGTGGCACCCACTGCTGGGCCTCCTCGCTACCTCCACTGTCTGGCCAGAGCGAGAGGCAGGTGGACAAGCTGGCTGCAACAGTGAAGAAGGAGAACAAGTCCAGGAGACTCTTGCCAGGGGGCCCTGGTGGGACCAGCTGCCCGGCCATGCCTACTGCTGATGCTGGTCTTGCATAGCAGTGTTGTGTGTGTGTGAAGTCCAGACAATGTGCCATTAAAGCCAGGGCAGATGGGGTTCCACATGCTGCTGCTTTGTGATTCTTTCCTGAAACCCGGGGCTGCTTATTTCAACAAGCAGGGGTAAGTAATAAGGCTGATGGGAACACTGCAGGAAAACATGTAACCCAGAATCCTTTCTTACCCTGCTCATTCATTTCTCCAATACATGGAAGCCAACAGCTGGGCTCCCATTCATGCAGTAGGGTATGAATGCAATTCTTACCCAGGAGAGCCGAACAGCAAGGCTGACAGATCAAATCATCAAAAATAAAAGACAAACGCAGCTAAATAATTCCTCCAGCAGTGATGCACAAAGGGAAGAGAGAAGGAATGTGGGGATAGACCTGAAAACAAAGACCTTATTTAGTTAGAAGAAATTGCTAGTGTATCCAAAGGCATCTTTCCCATATGTGCAGGGCTTTGCAGAGGCACAATTGCTGCACAAGCATGACTATGGGTATGACTGTACCACCAGGGGGAGCCCCTTAGTTTGCCACTGGAATGTATAACTGTGGTCACTAAGGCTACATTCATTTTATCAAGTTTATCAGAGTCCCTTGGTCTCTACAGACAGGCAATTATTTCAGCTGCAATTCCACAGGTCCTGAAATAGTCACAGATGATCTCAGGAAGAAACCAGATGGCAGAAGCCCATGTGTGATTAAAATATAGCTGATTAAAGTAATGCTGCCCTGCATTATTTTCATTATAAAACTTAAATTTTGCAACCTTTATACATGATGGTACACATTTTATTTTGGATAATGCACCTGAAAGGTACTGGTCAAAAGAACCGGTACATGCAGCATGCTGGAGCTCTGTCCTCTGACTAATGAAAATCCTTGTCAATCTTTCCTGCCTTTCAACATTTCTACTGATGCTGCCCGCTGAGTCTAAAGGGCCAGGGCAGGATAGGTAACAGTGTTTGAGCAATATGTGCTTTCCACTGCCTGATTTTTTAAAATAAAAGCTTTCTTTCTTCTTTACAAATTTAAGGATCAGGTTGCCCAGCTCACTGTGGAGCAGGGGGCAAAATTGTCCCTGAATCTTTGGACGCTACCTACCTCTAAGACAGAGAAACCTGTATTTGAAAGACACACACACCAGGAACCTGAATGTGACAGTCCAGGCAGAACCTAAGGCAGGGACCTGGATATGAGGACAGGGATGTTCACGTGGTTGCTTAATCCAGGCTTCTGGCAAGGGTTAAGATAGTTCCCTTCATTTGCATAAGGCTGTTTGTGCACTGACTTTACAGCAGGTAACTCCGTGATCTCTACAACAGGCTAGAGAATCTTCCCAGCACATCTCTTCCATCATACACACTGAACATTAATCACCTGTTTCCTATGAGCCAGCAAAACAACACTTTAAAAGGTAGGGATGTGGGTCTTAAAATGTGCTTTGGACAAGGGAATTTGGAACCAGTGCATCGGTGCCACGGCTCCCTTGCCCCTGCCACTTCGTCAGAGGAGAAAATGATGGTGCTGCAGACTGGGGTGAAACACACAGAACTCAGTGCAGGGGAAAGGGGTGGCCAGGAGGACTGAGGAGAAAAAACACTAGGTCAGCATTTTTGCCCCTTCCCCCACAGTGTTACCCAGGCGGCCCACTGCAGACAGCAGCTCTGCTCATTATTCAGGGTCCACTGGGCTCACCTTTTGTCTGCCTGTTTCTGTGAAGCTGCCGGATTCACTCTGAATTGAACTGTCACAGAGAATTACACAGGCTGGGAAGCTGAAGGCGCAGCCCAAGGGGTGAGAGACACGTTCACCCCTTCAGCTGGGAACTATCCTCAGGGGGGTAAAGTGATTGCCAGGGTGGGCCCATGCCTCCCTCCTCCCGGGACCAAAAAGGGCAGGAGCGCTGCACCGACAACAGTCCAGATCCAAATTCTACTGTGACTGGAATGCCTGACGACAATAGTCTCGCCAGACGTAGGGCTGGGTTTGTGCCATTTCTCCAGCCATAGAAGTTAAGAAGCCAGAGAAAGGCTGCTGTCAGATTTAGAAACTGGCCTAGAGAGAACACACAAATCAGCTGAAGTGCTCTCTTCTGCTAGCACTTCTTTCTGAACAGGGTTGGCCTTCAGACATGTGGTTCCTTTGGAAGGTCTGGGACATTTTATTTATTAGATTTATATCCCACCTTTTTTCTTTTTTAAAAGAACTCCAATTGGCTTGTATCATTCTCCTCCTGCTGCTCTCAATTTTATCCCCAAAACAACACTGTGAGCCAGGTGGGACTGTGAGTCTGTG